TCTGGAAAAGTTTGGGTCCCAGTGCTTAAGAAGAACAAGATGAAAAGGTCAGGGTTCTGCCAGGTAGCTGTTGATGACAGAGACCTAGGCCCTTGGGGCACTGCTCACTCCAGGATCCTAGAAGGCCAGCCATATTAAGTTGTTACAGAAGACCTGGGTCCTTCTCAAGCAGACCAAAATAGAAATTCATGGAATTGTGATGGGGGGAGGAGGGGACACTGTAGATGGTCTTGTATTATTCCATTTTTGTAAAATAACTTAAAATTATATGGGTTACTTTCAGGAATACACACATGCTATATACTATATACTGAATTTACATGTATCATAAAGCATTTTTAAAAGGTTTAGAAGGATAGATAACAAAGTGTTATACCAAGATATATATATTGTTTTATTCTATATGTAACCGTCTGGACTGGTGGTTTTAATTAGAAAAGCACTAGTAGTTAAAATGAATTTAAATCCCTGCAAAAATCATACATCAAGTGGCATCAGAGGTCATTTCCTCTTTCCAATGAGGAAGTATGTGCACAGAGTAATTCCCTGACTTGCCCAATCAGACATCTCAATGATGGAGCAGAGTACCTAGGAGAGCGGAAACTGCGAAGGAAGATAAAGAGGCAAGGAGCTCGTGGTTTCCACTGATTAAGAAAAAGCTAGGAAGGAAGATCCAATATTGAAATAGCAATCTGCTGGGTAGATGCCCCTCTTCTCTTCCTACCCTGTATTTCCCCAACTCTAAACCGTATTACAGTGTAATCCTTAAACTAAATTCTGAGGACAAGAATATTATTCATTTCCCTTTCCCCCAGTGCCCAATAGCACCAACAGGGGCTCACAAAATACAGAATGAATGAATAGATGGGAAAAGCAGATGAATACACTAACACGAAAAACTGGACAAAGCAGCAAAATTGGGAGTTTCTTCAGGGAGCGTCCCCTTAAAAGGCAACTCCAAAGTAACTTTCTTTTTTGAGCACGTGAACGTTGCCTATGGCCAGCAGGTGGGGCCACAGTAACAGTTTTACAAACTTTAGCCAGCCACGCGGTCGATCATTATTTTAAAAGGTAGGAGAGCAACAAGCCACGCATGGCACTAATGTCATCTTTGCCCTGCGAGCAGGATAGCGTGAAATTCCAGCTCCCCGTCCCATAGGAGACCTAAGCTCACCTATGAAGGTAAAGGGTTTGGCACTGGGAGAGGCTTTTGCGCAGGTGCAAAGGCAATGGCGACACCGTCTTAAACCCACATTTTTCGCGGTAAAATAGGGCAAGGGAAAAGCACACAAAATGAACGGGTATGCTGAGCGGCCCCCCAGGCTGCAGCGGGCTAGAGTTGACGGGGTCGCGGGAGTATGGAGAGAATCACGTTAGCAGGACAGAGGTTTGCCTCCCTGCGGGTCACGATGCAGTGGCCACCATGCATGGCCGCCGACGTGCTCGCGCCGTCCAGTCACCGAGCCCAGCTGCTGGACGGGGCAGGGCAGGCGGGGCCACCCTAAACTCTCCAGTAGGCGGGGCTACAGAGCCAGATCAGGAAACCTGTAAGCAGGTTTGTGGGACCTTCTCCAACCCACTTAGTCTCGCTATGGATGTCTTACCCCACAGCCATGTCAGCTTTCCACGTGCAAAAAACCCTGCAGCTGAAATTATTAGTTTCAAAGAATGGCTTCTCAGGGGTAAGGAGTTCCACCAGCTGCCCAGAAACCACTAGCAGTGAGTGATACAGTCTTAAGTAGCAATACTACCCAAGGCAAAAAACAAAAATGATTGTAAACTGGCTTTATCATATCTGAATCCTAGGGACACTTTTACTCTCACTTTCATTTTCAGAGGGAAGGGCCCTACATTCATGACACAAGATTACTTCTCCAGAAAAATTGTTTTTCAAATAAAAGCGGCAATATTCAAGTGCTATCTGCTCCCTAATGAAAAACAGAAAACTTCAGTATATGACCATTTATTTTTTCACAGGTAGAAAAAGCTCTGAACCCCTAGAACAGTTTAGATGCGCTGGAAACGAGGCCAACATTTTGGGTCTCTATTTACAAGGCTAAAGATAGAAATTATGGAAGGGTGCAAACCAACCTACATTCATTGGACCTCACTCTAGGTGAAGTATTATGCCAGGTGAAAAGCCCTCTCCACAACTCCAGAAGACTGGTATAAAAGCTCTACAAAAGTGGAGGAAGAGATGAAGTGGTTAGGTGTTTTGATTAGGCTAAATAATTCTTCACCTACAGGAGTAATAAAAACTCCACTTTAATAATCTGTTGCTATTTAAAATAAAAATGTTGCTTTAAAAAAGAAATCAACGATTGGTTTCTAAATATTCTCCAATAAAAGGAACCTTTGTTCCTTTTGAAAAATGGGGCTGGGGCACTGAAAATACAAGACTAGCCAAGAACATCTTACAGAAGGGCTCCAAAAAACATCAGGGGCATGTCAAAAAGACACAGGAGCCAACTTGAAGGAGGTCCCAATGGCCAAAGGTGGGACAATCTGAGCAAGAAATTAAATGATAGCATTGACCTATGGAATAAAATACAAAGTCCATACTGATATCACTGAATAAATAAAATGGGGAGAAGGGACAGCTCCTCCTTATAGCAGAATTCTAATTAGTATGAATGTAGAAGAAATAATAGACATAATGAATTAACATTAGGCAAACGCCACAGCAGTATTTGTTCCGGGGAATAACAATTCAAAGACGTCAAAATTAGTGAACCAAAGATTGATAGTTTAAAATTATATTCCTCCACAAGTTACTTAATTCATTACAAAGGGAAACAATAACTTTACAGTGGAGAAATACAGCAAATACTACCTTAATGTGATCAAAGTTAACATCACCAGTAATAATACGTATGGACATCATGTACCCTGATATAATGCACTAAGAAGGCCATATATGATTTTTGCAGTATTCTTACAAAAAAATAATTTCAATGTAATAGTGAGAAAGTATTAGACAAATTCAACTCGAGGGGCACTCCATAAACAACTGGTCAGTACTCTCCAAAAGTGTCAAAATCATAAAAGATGAAGACTGAAGAACTTGCAGTCTACAGACTAGAGACAACTAACCATACTGTGGGATCCTGGACTGGATGCTGAGCTAGAAAAGAGACATTCCTTGAACAACCAGCACAATCCAAATATGGTCTATAGATTAGTTAATAGTACTGTATCAATATTTACTGTTTTTGAAAATCATTCCATGGTATGTAAAATGTTAACATTTGAGGGAAGCTGAGTGAAGGGTGTATGAGAACTCTTCACACCATTTCTGCAAAATAAGTTTTTTTTTAAATGGAACATGTTGGAGGAAGGTAGCCAATCAAGTGTAACTAAGATTAAATCTAGTGAATATCAGACTTATACACTTCTTGATATTAAAGGTTTAAAAAATGCTTTGAATTTAACACTGATGGCACGTTGTGAGATTGTTCAGTTTCCCCTCATATTCAATAAAGGAGAACAGTAAACAAGCATGGCTATCCAAAGTCTTACATTCACAAATGACAGAACAAAGCATTAAGGGCAAATAGTCAAAAGTCAACACTTTCCACTGGCAAAGTTGTTGTTAGCAAATAAGAGAACTAGTTGAGCTGCATTTTGGGATCTTCACCAAACCAACTTCTGGACCAACTCTTTAAGAGTGAATATTATCTAATTTTTTTATACATTACAAGGCCAGTATGGTTTTTAAAAAAATACACAAATTCAACACCCTGCCTCCCTCAACACTCACTCAGGGACAGCTGGGTGAGCAGCCTTTTTAAGGGCTCCAAATTCCTTTCAGCTTGTCCTCAAAGCCACACCAGTAGTTTCTATGTGATGTAAAAATAAAGACTGGGAAGGACTGGCTTAAATACTGAGGCACTAGCATTTCAAACTGTAAAAAAGCATATTGAATAATCTCATATCCAACTTGAATACAAGGTAGGAAAATCTAGGTAAAACTGATTTTGAATTTGCTTTTCTCCGGATATTTTTTTCTCTTTCAAAGGTGAAATACTAAACCTCCATCAAGCCCATGGGAGTCCTGTAGAAGTCACAGAAGTTTCAGCTAAAATTGAAAGCAATAAATGCTACATTTCCAATTCAAAATTGGGCATCTTCAAACCGATGAAAGCACAAAGGACTCCCCAATCTGGGGGGAATATACTTCAAAAAGCTTAGCAAATAGGAATATCTAGGTATATTGTGCGGTGCTTCAGATAGGCAGAGAAAAGTTCTCAACTCAAAGTGTCAACAATAACGCTAATTACAAAATCAACATTTATTAATTTTATCGCACCCTTGATTTAGTAGCCTGGGCTGTGTAGAATAGGATGAATAAGTAATCTGTGGGCAAAACAGGGTCCAACAGTATTATAATCCATTTTCAGAACCCTTTCTTACTACAGAAGTTTTTACACATTTAACTAAATCTCCAAAATTGGGACATCTCAAGGGCTAAAAATCTTTAAGGCAGAGAAGCTCCAAACCTTAGGAAATAAACAAGGATGAATCAATTAACATTACGGTTATATGGTTCACAAAGATTCAAGCCCATTGGAATTTCTTATTCTTGGACCACATGGAATCCTGCCTAAGTAAGTCATATTTCAGATTAAACACTTAAAACCTCGACACTGGGCTCTACCTACTCTGCACGTAAGATATGTGGCCAGGTTTCCTCAAGGTTATTAGCACAATGCCTGGCACCTAATAAGCACTCACGATCAAATATTTGTTGAACAATTTAGCATAGCAGTGGCTCTACCTTCTCAGGGAAATATCCAGAAATAAAGCATTATGAATATTGGCCCATCTTGCTTTGCAGAGGTCATGGTTATCCAACCCTGGGTACCAAAGCAAGCCTGAACTATTCCATCTCAGTGAACTTTCTAAAAATGGTTGCTGTCTCACCTCTTAAAACTCCTTATACTCCAAAGCTTTCATAAAATATAGCAGATTCAAATAATACTAATAAATGGTACTAGAAGTGATGCTCAACAGGATCTCACGTTTATTGAGAAGTGATTAATGGTAAAAAGAAAGGCAATGCCCTTTCCTCATTGGCTGAACAAGAAACTGAAGAAACATTCACTACACGTTTTACAATATTTTTCTCTTCCAAAATGCATTTCTGTAAACAAGTTTTTACCACTGTTCTTAGCTTTGAAATCAAATTAATCCTGACTTAATCAGTATAATGTACAAGAACAGAACATTTCTTAGGACTCCTAGTATTTTACTTTGAATAACAAAGGGTCAGAGAAAATGAACCACCCTTAAAGACACAACCTTGGGTAACACTGTTAAATTCTCCAAGACAAAAATTCTTCATAAAAATGTTCTTCCAGTTCAGAAGGGAAAAAACAAATTCCCACTTTCTGGGGTGGATGCCCAAAACCTTCAAAACTCAAGTGTTCTCCAAGTGCAAATGTCAAAATGGGGGGAGGAAAGGGTTTAAAAATTAGAGAAAACTGTATGCACTTACGGACTTTAAAATCCGAAAAACATAGTAAAAAGACAAAAAAACAAAGCATTATGCTCTGAAATCACAACCAAAGCCAAAATAAAAGGGACATTTTTCACCTAAACTACCTAGAGGGATTTTTTGTTTAGTTTTTTCTTTTTCTTTTTTTTTTCATTTTCCAGTTAAGTCCTATGTCTTTTGTGAAATTCCAATACTTAAACTGCAAGTCTGCAATCGTCTCTGAAGTCAATGAAATTAAGAAAAAAGTCCTAATTCTCTTGAAGGTCAATTTTTTTCCTCTTAGGATATGCAGACGCAACCGTTGCTGCAGTCTGTGCAGAACTGCCTCTTATTTCCCACGACCTTGACGTTCCTATAAGTTAAAAAAAAATTGAAATGGTTAGTTAAAACTTATCTGAACATGTTTAAGAATTACAACTTCATAGAATAACTCAACAGAAATTTAATTATTTGTGCTAAATAGAATATTCCCCACAAATAAAAACTTTTACTTCTTATATTTTAAACCAAAGTACTTGCACTCAAGCACCCCAATTAATACAAAATTATTTTTCTTTGACTTTGAAATTCTTAACTGACTAAACACATTTGTTTTCCTATTATAGTTGGTTTACGCTAATATGTGTCAGTCTCCCCAAAATATGGGCCTAAGTAACTCAAACATATATCTATCAATGGCCTGCAGCAGGGAAGCAGCATAAGCCCTAACAGTTCTAGAGTCATCCCATATTAGTCCCAAGGCCTTAACCATATTCATAGGCCTTAATTTCCTTTTTTAAAATAAAGTGAGGATATGTATCTGGGCTGTGGGAGAATTAATGAGTCGACATATAGAAAGCTCTTAGTCCATAGCAGGCAAGAAAATCATCCTTTTCCCCTAGGGAGAGTTTAAAATCCACCCAGAAGTGGATTTTGAAAACTGAATGCAATTCTTACATTTTCCCTGAAATAGATCTAAATGCTCCTTCCTTATTAAGAATCATTCTTTACGAGCCTTTCCTAAATGTACCCCAAACAGCATTCCATTTCACACACTACCTCACTTACTGGGATTTTTAAAAATATGACTCAATCCACATGCCTTTTAAAAGCAAAACCAAAAGCAAAAAAAGCAAAAGCATTAAGTGGTTAGGAGCAAGCACACAGACCTGAACTTAGACTCGATTCATCAAGCCACATGAATAGAGTCATTTGCTCCCATTCACCTTATGGTAACTATGGTTCTGAAGTTAAACATGATTCCTATTAAGAAAGAACAGCAAATACTACTTATGGGCTTCCATGTTCCAGGCACTGTACATAATGATCTTAATAACCACCTTACAAGGACTATACTATTCCTGCTTCAGAGATAAGAAAACTAAAGCTCAAAAAAGTTAACTGACCAAGGTTACCTAAGAACCAAGATTCAAATCCATGGCTATATGGCTCTTTACCTACACCATGTCATTACAAATATTTACGTAAAAGTCAACAAAGTTAAGTGAGGCTCTGTGATGAACTGACTACCACCACTAAACTACTCCAAGGATATAAAAACAGTAAATTTCAGAAGGAACAGTTATCTTTTTGTGATGTCCCACTTCACATATCAGGAATTCAGAGATAAACTCACCAACATACAAGGATCTGGGATATTTTCAAAATAAGCCATTTTGAAACTTCAACCTTTATAAAATTAATTTAATAAAACAATTCACCCACACACTGTTCCTGGAAATCAAACTCAATTCAAGAATAAGAAAAAGAAATTCAATCCAACATAAAAGGGACCTCAAAAGTTTTGATGTTCCTGGGCTGCAGTACTGACCCTCCCCTTTCTATAACTCTCCCAAAGTTTTGATAATTAATATATTGTTTATAATAGGAAAATCACAACTAAAAAAAAAACCAAAACCCTCTGGCATTGACCAAAATGAAACTTACAAAAGCACCTAGATTCTCATATCAATCTTTTTTTAAAAAATTGTAGTTGATTTACAATGTTGTGTTAGTTTCAGGTATACAGCAAAGTGATTCAGTTATACATACATATACATATTCTTTTTCAGATTCCTTTCTGTTACAGGTTATTACAAGATACTGAATATACAGTTCCCCTTGTGCTGTGATAGGAGTAGGTTCTCCTATCAATCATAAACTCATCTACCTCGTTCAGTCTTTCTTAATTTGGATGGATACTATTTATCTAACCTCTCTTCTATTGCTAATCAAAATCTACCTTTAGTTTCAGGAAATATGGACTCTTTCTTTGTGTTTCTTGATTAAATCTCATTCCCATGCTTTTAAAAGCCAAGAATGCCTGGCCTTCTGGCCCTGGGGTACACTTCAAAACCCCTTCCTTCTCTGAGACTTCCTCAACCACTGCAGTTTTCAAGGTGCTTCTAAATCTGCATCCACAATTGAAAATCAAATTGTATTGACTTATTTCATATAAAATTAGTCCCAACTCAACCAAAAGCTCCTAGAAAGCAAAGAACAGTTCTTTAGCTAAGCTCATTCACAAACTTATTTATGAGTTTAGCAGTGGGTAACAGGCTACAGTTGACTTTTATGTAAAATTCTGGTTCTCATCACAAGAAAAAAAATGGTGATGGATGTTAACTAAACTTATTGTGGTAAGCATTTCACAATAAACACATATATCAAATCATTATGTTGTAGTACACCTTTAACAATGTTGTATGTCAATTATATCTCAATAAAAATGGGAGAAATCCCTAGAGGCAACTTCTGTTACCAGTTTCTTGTGTCCTTCCTGAGTTATTTTAAGCATATAAAAACTTATTACATCTTTTGTTTTTTCTTTTCACAAGCAGCATACAAAACACACTTCATTTTGCTTTTTTTCCTGTCACTTAATATGTCTTACAGATTATTAAATTTTAGCACATATAGATCTGTTTTTTTTATGGGTCTGGGAGCACCCTCCTTGCTCTGAATTCAAGAATTGAAGATCTAGGGCTTCCCTGGTGGCGCAGTGGTTAAGAATCCGCCTGTCAATGCAGGGGACACAGGTTCAAGCCCTGGTCTGGGAAGATCCCACATGCCGCGGAGCAACTAAGCCCGTGCACCACAACTACTGAAGCTCACGAGCCTAGATAGAGCCCGTGCTCCGCAACAAGAGAAGCCACCAAAATGAGAAGCTCACGCACCGCAATGAAGAGTAGCCCCCGCTTGCCAGACTAGAGAAAGCCCATGTGCAGCAACAAAGACGGACGGACGGACAGACGGACGGACGGAAGGAAGGAATTGCAGATCTAAAAGAGAAGCAGTTCTCAAAGACATTATGATGAATGAAAGAAGCCTCAGACAAAAGAATACACACTGTATGATTCCAATTATGTGAAGTTTTATAACGGAAAATGAATCTACGGTGGGGACAAAATTAGAACAGTAGTTGTCTGGGGTGGGGTGGGGGTGGAAATTTCTAGGATGGTAATGTTCTATATCTTCATTGGGGTTTGGGTTACACAGATGGGTACATTTGTCAGCACTCAGCAAATATACACTTAAAATTTGTGCATTTTATTTAACTCAAAAAATACGTAAAACAAATACTGAGCTCTAGTTAATGATACGCATGCTGAAACGTTTAGGGGTGAAGTATACTGATAATGACAATTTCTTTGAAATACATCAAAAAACAAAACGGACTAGCAGAAAAACAAAAAAAACTGGAGAAAAAATTCTGCCTATTATTTTAATGTAATGTAACCCCAGGAATACAAATAAACTTACATGCTCCAAATTGTACCATTAAATTAGAAAACCTAGACTTTGCCAAATCCATTTTTCCCTAAGAAACACACTTATGGGAATTCCCTGGTGGTCCGGTGGTTAGGACTCCACGCTTCCACTGCAGGGGGGGGCACTGGTTCTATTCCTGATCAGGGGACCTTAGTTCCCCACATGCCAGGCAGCTCGTCAAAACAAACAAATAGAAATACACACTTGTAAGTTCATCACAATGCTTAGTAACAGCATTTAAAATATTTAGTCAAAAGAAATGCAAAATAGCACTGTGAAATTGTACTTATTAAGTCATCTCATTTTTAAACACAAAGTTTGTTCCTCTATAATGTGATACTAAATCCACCTGTGTTCAATTTTGCCTCAAACGTAACATAAAACTATTCCTGGGGCTTCCCTGGTGGTGCAGTGGTTAAGAATCCGCCTGCCAATGCAGGGGACACAGGTTCGAGCCCTGGTCTGGGAAGATCCCACGTGCCGCGGAGCAATTAAGCTGGTGCACCACGGCTACTGAGCCTACACTCTAGAGCCCCCGAACCACAACTACCGAAGCCCATGCACCTAGAGCCCATGCTCCACAACGAGAAGCCACCGCAATGAGAAGCCCGCGCACCACAACGAAGAGCAGCCCCCGCTAGCCGCAACTAGAGAAAGCCCGCGCGCAGCAGCAAAGACCCAATGCAGCCAAAAATTAAATAAATTCATAAAAAAAGAAAAAACTCGGGCTTGCCTGGTGGCGCAGTGATTGAGAGTCTGCCTGCCGATGCAGGGGACATGGGTTCGTGCCCCGGTCCGGGAAGATCCCACATGCCGCAGAGCAGCTGGGCCCATGAGCCATGGCCACTGAGCCTGCGCGTCCGGAGCCTGTGCTCCGCAACGGGAGAAGTCACAACAGTGAGAGGCCCGTGTACCGCAAAAAAAAAATAAATAAATAGAAAACTATTCCTGAATCTTAGCTACACAATTATACCAAGAGGGCAAGTACCACCTGTGCCCTAATGTAAACCTGTGTGACAGAAGCTTAAATTATGGAAATTACATGCAAACAACAAATGGCATTAGCTGCCTTAATCTCCTGATCAACATCAAGAAAATATTACATTGATACAATTCAGCAAGCTGATTAAACTGCTCTTCTATTTCCAGATACAATTTTGATGTGTACACAAAAAAATAAGCTTATATATTTACAAATGATAAAGATAATATCCATCTTCTCAGAGATTATAAAGATACTTAAGCATTCACATCATACCATCTTGAAAAGTAAAATGAATTTGGCACCAATAATAAAACTGTAAACAATTCACAAGATTTTAAATACTAGCTATTTTAAACATTTTTATTAAAAAAGAAAAAAAAAAAGGGACTTCCCTGGTGATGCAGTGGATAGAAGACTCCACGCTCCCAAAGCAGGGGGCCCAGGTTCGATCCCTGGTCAAGAACTAAATCCCACATGCATGCCACAACTAAGGAACCCACAAGCCTCAACTAAGGAGCCAGCAAGCTGCAACTAAGGAACCCACGTGCCAAAACTAAGACCCGGCAAAACCAAATAAACAAATATTAAAAAAAATAAAAACCAAACAAAAAGAACAC